GGTACGGAGCCCGGGCTTGCACCTGGCTCATGCGCCGCTGCTATTGATGCCATTTCTATGCCAGCCTTGCAGTAATAAATTTCAAGCTGTCTCAATTATTGTGATGACGGTTGGCAACCAAACACACACGGTAGTCAGTACAACGCAAGCTCCACACTCTAACGTTAATCAGCCAGCATTAACTAGACTACAGATTAATTAACGCCAAGTCAAACAGTATCAATCAGCTAACATTACATTAACTCGCTGCTAATTTATGTGCCGTCAGTTTGCATTCAAGCCATTTAAAAATAAAATTGCCACCGCCTCATTCATACTTATGAGGAAGGTGTGTGTAAGAGTGTGTGCACGCCCTTTTCATTTCTGTTCACCAATAGTATTTCAGTCACTGTGAAAATATTAACAGTGGACCAATGGCAGTGAGGGGGTCGTTCATATGATTACAACGTGGCCCGTCCCTCACAGGTCAACAGGCCTGCTAATGTTTGTGTAGAGATGTAATCACTGGTTAACTACAGTTGACGCAATCGTAATAAAAAACAATATAATGTCCTTTTATGGCTATTCATTATGTTTCCTATATTCATTTAAATCATTTTTTTCCTGTTAATGTAACAAATATTAGTCCATGAAATAATAATTACATAATTCATTAATTAATCATTTTAGAAGTACAAAATAACGAGATGGTGCTGGGAATATGAGCTAATGACAGTTTAAGTTAAGTTGATAATCAAAACAAGAAATGATTTATCAAAATTGTCGTCACGGAAAGAATAGGATTTCTCAAACAGCAGGGATCAGGTAAAAAGGTTACACAAACATAACACAATTAACTCCAGTGATTAATGTTTATATTTTTTAATGATTGAAACTTGTTGATTATTTTTCTTTTAGCTCCATTCTACTCCTTGATTCCCCTCTTGCTTTTGAGCACAACTCTTCCGCTAAATATTACTATATATAACCCAGACCTGTTTAACTGGGTCAGCAGGATAGTATTCATGAGTGGAATGACATTCACTGTTGAAGACAGAAAATACAGTGACACTTTAGTTCATCTGAGAGATTTGGAAGAGGAATCCTCAGCAGACAGCACCACTGCATAAGTGCTCTACGGGCTCCTCTTGATGACAATAAAGCAGTGAAGCTGGCAAAAGCCACTGTGTAATAACAGCTGTCTCTTGTTTGCTACAAAGTCCTGGACCTGAGACTTGGGTTCAGATTGTGCTGGTCTAAAGTATGTTGTCTTCATTTTCTACATGTAAGCAAATAAATTAATGTTGTGTTGCACTTCCTCAGAGAAACCACTGGAGGGCAGTGAAAACTGATGATTCAAAATACACTCAGAGCAACTGTCCACTCCACCCAGTATCAAAGCAGACACAATACCATACTAATAATTCCAGTCAAAGCTCTTAAAGTGTGTCCACTGCCAATTATTTACAAGGAGATAGAAATATCCATAAAGGTAGTTTTAATTCTGGACTATTTCTTGACATGCAATGTTTAAAAGATTTTATAACAGCAAAGTGTAGCCTATATCATAAATACAGATTAACATCAGTAAAGCATGACTATGAATACACTGTAACTAATAATAATAATTATTGCTATCATTATCTGTATAAAATAAAGATGTATTCTAGTCTGTAAGTGTGTGTGTGTGTGTGTGTGTGTGTGTGTGATCATCCAAATTTTTATGTGAAAGGTCTCTGTATCAGTACATCTGCTGACTGTCTTGAGACTGGGTCTTGGGGCAAGAGGAAACATATCACATCTCTGTGCCTCATTGAACTTCTGTTGCAAGGGCTGCATTTCCCAGTGACAAGCCATGCTGATATATCTTTCCACAAACCTTTAAATGAAATGATGTGATGATGAATGCACAGTTCTGTTTGTTGAGGTAGAAGTCAGTATAGATTGAGTTGTGGCTTGGACACTGTCTATTCCTCAATTCCTTGGATCGCTGAGACATGCCAGCTGTTTGAGCTAAACACAGGCACTGTGTTTGTGAGCCAACATTCGGAACAGCTGAAGTACAGTAAATTGTACAAATGTGCACTTGAAAACTGGATTATGTGCTTGTCTGTCAATGAACATAATGTAAAAGCAGTCATGGACTGTGATTACCTTGTGTGCAGGGACAGCAATGTCAGATGACATTCCTTGGAGGAACATAGTGGCAGAGAAGGATCTTAAGCCTGTATGATTGAGTTCAAGTAGATGGGTGCAAAACCAGAAGTCACTCTGAAGGCAAGCATTAGTGACTTGAATTTGATTCAGCCGACCATGGCCACATGATGAGATTGTGTCAGCAAGAACAGTCTGTCAACAGTTACATAGAAAGGGATGTTATAGTCGGGTTGCAGGGCCTAAACCCCTCATTACACAGATGAATGCACATTTGAGAGTTCACAGGCACTGGTCTACAGAGATGTGGAAAAAAGTGAAATGGTCAGATGAGTCATCTTTCTCCATATTTTCAACAAGTGGGCAAGTGCATGTGAGGCTACACCAAGAGAAAGATATCTACAGTGAGGGGATCCAGTGGCTCTGTTATGCTGTGGGGGGCATTTTTCTGGAATGGTTTAGGTCCACTTGTCCTCTTAGAGGGAAGAGTTACTGCAAACCAATACGAAGTTGTTCTGAGAGATAAACTTTATCATATGATGACACATTTTTATCCTTGTGGGCGTGGTGTCTTCCCCATCTAAACACGGATTATCCGCAGGGCCTATTGGGCTGGTGCGGTGGCCTCCGACCTCTAGAGAGCCTCCAAACTGTGGCTTCTTTTTATTTTATTTATTTTTTTTATCAAATCGCACAAGTTAATTGAGTTTGTATATGTTGAAGAGAGTTACTTTAATTTGCAAATAAAAATATTATAATTGGTTTGCTGGCAGCGTGGGTATCATGATGATGACGAATGAGGTCAGAGGTTAGGTGGTGACCGTGGGAATTTAGCGACACAGCTAACTCCTTATGGAAGACTCTGAAAACATCATGAAAAACAAAACGTTGAAGCGGCGGAGCAGCAAAAGGAAAGGTGAAAAAGAAAAGGATTCAGAGAAACTGAAATTCGGACAAACATACCGTCTATCTCGACTTATTTTTCAAAAGTCGGCTACTCGGTTTGCTAGCTTTAGCAAAGAGCCTGAAGAGGACGATGCTAACATAGCAGAGGGGGACAGTAACGCGACAGCAGCCACTAACATGAGCTCAGCTGAATATCAGTATGAAACAGGCAGAGAGCCACAGCCCTGCGACAGACACCTGTCCACCTGCCCCACCCTCATTTCCACCTGAGTAGAGTCAGTAGGTTACCAGTTTAGCAGCCCCAAAATTTTTCCACAATTACTTTCTGCCTGTTTTCCCACATTAAAAATGAACTGAGACCAACGATGAGGAAACCACGCTCGATCTCTTTATCAACACTGCCAGCAGAGTCGGAACTCTTCAGGACTTCAATGATTTGGAGGAATTTTCAAGGAGAAAGGCCAGAGAGAAGACCGTCACATGAGGTAGGCTTTCTTTCATATTATTAATCACACTTTATGACCTATATATTCTTGTCTTCAATGTGTTGTGATGTGTTTATACAATGAGAAGGAGTTGACATCGGTTGGTTTTGGTAATATTTCACTATTGTATCATTGCGTCTCTATACCAGGGTGGTTGATATGATGGAAATCCTGTATGATACAGGTTACATACATTATTTGATATAGGTCTACCTAAGCTGAGCAGTATGAATTGAAGTGTGTGTGTGTGTGTGTGTGTGTGTGTTTGTGTGTGTGTGTGTGTGTGGGATGATGATGATGATTGATGGAATAATCTGAATCATAGAACTGTATCGAAGCGGTATGTGCTTGCTCATGCTATTCAGCTACAGATTATAGGCTAATATATTGATATTGTTGCTGTTGGCCCAGGAAAAGTATTGTTACAATCATGTATTGTAAATCCTGTATGATAGAATATATCTACAGGTGTTGACATTGTCCTTCATGTTGTGATCATACGCTGTAGCCTGTCAGTGTGAATCCTGTATGTTTCCAACAGATAGCGGCCTGAACCTATAATTAAAAACCTTGGATTGTGATGAGAGATGATTAGGGGCAGGGGCCCACCCAACATTCTTAACAGGAGCCCACTATACTTACAGCTTTATGGGAACCAAAATAGTGGACCTCACAAGTTTAAATGGCAGTTTCAGGGTTAAAATTAGGTTAGGGTTAGGCTTCAGCATTCATTTAAAGGTAAAAGTTAGGGTAATGGGCTTGGGAATGCATTATGTCACTGATGGGTCCCTGTGAATATAGTAAGACAAGTATGTGTGTGTAGTCCCCTGACAGTTGCTGTCTTGATTTTAATCTAAATTGCATTAGGTTGTAATACATTGCTGTGCAAGTGTATGGCTTTTTCCTTCTTTGAGCATACAGCTGTGTCCGTTGTATGTCAGCAGATGAAAGTCTATCCTTTTACTGTCTGTGAGTCAGTGATTCAAACCATTTTGAGGATTCGACTCAGTTTCAACATTTCACTTTGGCTCTTTTCTCTCATAACCTAAGTTTACTTAGTCCAGCAGACTGGTCTTAAACTCTGCCATTTGATCCTGCTATAAGTTACAGGCCATGTACAGTAAGTGGGCAGTAGGGCTACGGGCTGTGCTAAATATTTAGTCGTCTCCCTGGCAACAAATACATTTCTATTTTTGTCTGCCACTCTGGCTTCTCTTCCCTCTCGCTGTCAGACTCAACAACACCAAGTTACAATGTGGCAGTCTCATGTCAACAAATAATCTATCACAAATTGTCCTCACTTCACTAAGGCCTGCAATCACTTGTTAAGCACTAAATTAGTTATTTATGGTGTATAACTTCACTTTGAATCCATTGGTCGAAATTCACTAATGGCCCAATTGTATTCGCTGTTTGAAATGTCACTCTGGTTGAAGGCACCTCCCACACTGTATATATTCTCCAGTCGAGATGCAGAGAGGAAAGTCCCTGCCTGCAGCTCTCTCATTTCTTCTCAGCTGAACTCCTCGACCATATCTGCAAAGATGATGAAAGTAAGTATCATTTTGATGACTAAATTTTGCTGCTGCATGTCTTTTAGCCTTTGTTTTTTATGACTCAGATGGAAAAGCAGTGTTAGGTGATATTTTAAAAGCTGACTGACGGCTGGTTGAAATTTGCCAGCTCATTCTATGCCATGCTGATGTAACTGAACTAGTTGAGCTATGTTTTAACAAACGTGACTTATTGCATCTAACTTTTATTTAGATTTTGAGAGTTCTCGCCAGGTAGACTTTCTTCATCTCCTTTTATGGTCAAAATATTCACTACTGAGCATATTGCACTGCCCATTAGTCACCTTTTAACTGGATTACAGCATGTGCATGTTTTTTCAACTGCTGCAAATGCATAAGTAAGTCAGCTGTTTATCTAGTTATATTCTTCCTGCAATAATTTAATCACACTGCAATAGGAATGCTTGTTAACATTTGTCCATTTCATTCCAATCATGCTGTCTCTCAGTATCTAGAGCTGAACATTGGCAGCAATGCATTGTGGTTTCTTTGGGCTCATAAACTAAGTAGATTACAATAAAGGCCCTGTATCGTTCTGGCTTTTTTCTTGGCCACAGGGGTAAACATGTGTTTGGAAAGGACACAGGAGAGTGGGGGCAGCAGGCTTAAATCACATTAAAGGATGAAATGAAATAAAGTCATCATGCGGAGGTTAAAATAGAAGCTATTATACTGTGATTCTCAAGTTTACCTGTTGAAATGAAGCAGCAATGGTATTTCATGCAAGATAGTCATCGAATGTCTCTTTCACTGTAAAAGAACTATTTTTTATTTATATTATGCAGAAATATCAGAAAGATAACAGTAATTTCAGAGTAAAATAATTAATTCAAGTACAAGTAAAGTACAAGTAGTTTTCAAGTAAAGTACAAGTAAAACACATCACAGTTAATTATTTTGAGTGTTTCTAGTCTGTTGGTAGAAACATTTTGTGTCTCAGTCTTATGCAATACAATATGCAGTTTCCTTTAGACAGCAGTGTCTGTGCGATAGCCAGCTCCAACCTCGGCCCAGCCCCACACAGCTCCAGCCCCTTCACCATGTGTTATATACGCACTTTACAGTTGGACTCTAACATGGAAAGAATGTCAAACCCGTGTCATCCTATCCTTTTACACTCCCCTTTTTTTCATTTTCTTTTGGTTGATCTTTCAAACTCCTTTTTTTTTTTACTCTAAAGTTAGCCTTTAAGCTCTGGAAGAACCAACACACCACCAACAACTTGACACTATTTCAGCCTATGTCAGACTGAGGGCTATTTAATAGGCGTTCACGTGGACAATATCACTACTTTTCACTGGGAAACTTAACTATTTCACTCCAGTTGCTATGCAGGTTTGCCTCACCACTCATGCTAATCATTTTGACCCTGAACTTTATCATTTAAATAAACAGCCTTAGAAGTTATTTTCAGTGAGAAAGTTTGGTCTCTGTTTAACTGTATCTAACATTGTTGACATTAGCAAGGGGTTTTTCCATTAGGCTGCAGTGCAGAAAGCTCAATAAAGTTCTTGCTCCTATCCCCTAAAAAAGGGGGGCTGGGTTCACTCTCTGAAATACTATCAAGTAAAAATCACATCTGCAAAAAAAGCTTTTTGCATACAAGGAATTTTCTCAAAGTTTCTCAAATGTATGTGTGAATGATAAAATATATCATTTGCAAAGAACAGGAAATTAAAACATGTACATTTGTGTCGAAGCATTTCCTGCTCACTTGGCAATGTGTTCATGACCAGAGGATTAATGAATGAGGAGCTCATGTTTCTTTTCTTTCTATTGTCTCTGCTCAGAGTCAGATTTTTCTCATGTCCCGTGTCAACCTGCCACTTTAGCACACATAATTAACATTATTGTGAAAAATTGTAAATCCTCTAAGGGCTGCTATTTTTGTACTTGTTAACTTGGTGACAGTTCACTCTTACCCAGTGGCAAACCATTGAACAGAGGTGATCTGTGTTTCGCAACCAAATAATAGATTGCTCAATTATCATTTCCTAACAGCCCAGTATTCCCCTGCCACATGTACAGTAACAACTGAGCAGAGAATTTATGCTGTGCTCAGTCCTTTTTTTTCCCCTTTTTTTTTTTGCCATCCATTATTGTACTTAGTAAAATATTACTTTGTTTAACGGTCAATCCTCGTCATTTTTAACATTTCCAGCCTCTGCCAAAATTGGCGTAGTGGAAAAGAGATGTGGTAACAGTGGAACAGGAAAGAACTGTAATATGTGAGCCGTCCATCAATGGGAGTATAATTGAAAACATGTGTTCTGTAATTTCTAAGGATGGAGTGAGGATTGGAGAGTTGGCTGAGGCTACTGCTGGTGGTGTTCTTTTGCCTGTAGCTGCAATAATAATTGGATCTAGTAAAACCCAGTAGTATTATCACACAATAACGTACTGTTTCACTATCCTACCTTACCTCCTACCCTCTTTATCTGCACAGGATATGATTGTAAAGAATATGTCCCTCAAGGTTGGGCAGACACTGACTGTAGTTGGAGTTCCCAAGCCTGATGCTTCAAAGTAAGTGCTCATGTGAAACACTATCTTGATATTTTGATATAAATGCATCACGGTAAAACTGAAAAAGTTCATCTCTAGTAGTTTATGCTTGTATTCCACAAACACACTTCATTCTTGTCATATGGAATGGTCATAAAGTTGAGTTATTTGTGTATAGAAAGTATTTGGTATTGTTATCACTATAATTTGATTTAAAGGAAACAAGTGTGTAGGTTCAATCATAAGACTGAAACCTTATGACCAAAATGTTTTCATTCATGTGGGGATAAAGTTTGTTCTTAAGTTATTTTCTCTACACACTAATGTAGGTGAAATCTATAATCAGTTAATGACTACCTATTCATTTCCCCTCAGTAATGTGTGATGAAGATGATGATTAGTAAACGTAGCAATGCAGGTCATCTCAATATTTTGTGCACTTGCTCTCCTCTTACCCATTAATAAATGCCTATTAAATGTAACAAATGTCTTTATTTCTTTATACCACCAGTTTTTCTCTGAATATCGGCTCTAATGAGCAGGAGATTACATTGCATATGAACCCTCGTTTTAACGCCCACGGAGATGAGAATGCGGTGGTCTGCAACTCTTACCAGGGAGGCAACTGGTGTGAGGAGCACCGTGAGGGAGGCTTTCCTTTCCAACAGGGAGAAGAGTTCAAGGTAAAGCCTCCTCTGTGTGTGTGTGTGTGCGCGTGTGTGTGTCTCAGCCATATGCAATCCTTCCCATGCCTCTGTCTGTCTGTTAGTGACCTCTGCTGGAAAACGTGTGTCATTGTACCTCTGATAACTTCACCCTAATCATTTGATGATGAGCGCTAATTAACTCACAGGGGTCTGTGAGAGCTATATCCATAAATTTTTCATCAGATAAACGATTTTCAGGTATTTATAATGACATGGTGTTAAGGTGTTATGTTTGAAAGATCCACGACCAAACACTTAATCCAAGAATGGAGCAGAAGTTCAATATGTAACATCTTTGTTTCGATATTCTTCCTCCTTTTCTCTCTGTCTCTCGCACTCATCCTACTGTCTAGATCACCATTGAATTCACCCCTACGGAGTTCCTGGTGACATTATCAGATGGCTCTAATATCCACTTTCCCAACCGCATAGGTGCGGAGAAGTACTCGTGCATGAGCTTTGAAGGGGATGCTCGCATCAAAAGCATTGAGATCAAGTAAACCTCCACCCTCCCAGGAATTGTTGGATTCAAATTCTGTTTTCCAATTTGTCTGACATCAGGTTACATATTACCCCAGCTTTTAAATTCCTGAATTCATGTGGTACCAGCCTTAAAAGCTTATCACATGTCATCGTATTATGCAAGAATTTAGCTTGTTGACATGCGCACATGCAAACAACCATAGAATGAAAGATAAGATAGACATTTGCTTTCTTTCAATAAGGATTGTAACTGCATGTCCTTTCTGCACACTTGACAGATCTACTTACTGGATAGCAAAGCAAAAAAGTAGTTCCAAGCCCATGTTATCTGACTGTTATTTGCTTTGCAGTGTTCAGTTGAAAAGTACCACATAAAATGTGATCAGTTGCTTTTAAAGGTGCTTGCTGCATGCTTTTCTGTTTCCCCTCTCAGACATTCCAGACTTGTAACTGACTGTAATGCTTTCCTGGAACAACATGTATTAAAGAATGACCTTTTATGAAAAAAAAATGGACTTTGTTTATTCCTTAAACAGCCTCGTGCACATTTTCTTCAGTATAAAATTATTTTTATTCGATTTCTCCAAAAAGATGCATTGTACTTCTTACCCTCTCATTATTTCTGACACAATTTAGTGCTCTCACCGCCCCGTCCTACAGTATTTATATGCATATTCTGTGCCCTATGCTCAGTTACACAATGATTCCTTGCTCATTATTTGTGACAAAATTGGTGACATTGTTCCACTTTATTGATTGCTGTTGGATTAATAATTGGTCGTTCATCAACACTGGTAATGACCGGTTTAAAGTCTATGCAAGAGCAGTGCATTCACTGAGCACTTTATTAGGAATACCACATTTTGACACTGTGAAGGGCCTCACTTTGCTCTCAAAACTGCCCCAGGTCTCCGTGGCATGGATTCCACAAGATGTTTGAAAAATTCTTCTGAGATTCTGCTCCGTGTTGACATGATTGCATCACATCATTTCTGCAGATTTGTCAGCTGTACATTCACGCTGCAATTTTCCTGTTCTACCAAATCCCAAAGGTTTTCTATTGGGTTCAGGTGGTGACTGGGGAGGCCATTGAATTACGCTGAACTCATTGTCATGTTCATGAAACCACTTTGAGACAACTTTTGCTCTGTGACATGGAGCATTATCATGCTGGAGGTAGCCATTAGACAATGGTAAATTGTAGCAATAAAGGGAATGGACGTGGTCGGCAACAATACTGCTGAATGCTGTGGCATTCTAACCATGATTGATTCGTCTTAGACTGTGTCAAGCAAACATTCCTCACAATATTACACCACCAGCAGTCTGAACAGTTGACACAAGGCAGGTTGGGGCCATGGATATAATGCTGTTGACATCAAATTCTGACCCTACCATCTGCTGCCTCAGCAGAAATCCAGATTCATCAGACCAGGCTATATTTTTCCAGTCTTCAACTGTCCAGTTTTGGTGAGTCTGTGCAGCCACTGCAGCCTCAGATTTCTGTTCTTGGCTGACAGTCTTCTCATCCCCCTCAAACTTCAAAATGTTGTGCTTTTCTGCTCACCACAGTTGTAAAGAGTGGTTATCTGAGTTACTGTAGCCTGTCAGCCTACTCTGACCTCTGTCATCAACGAGGGGCTTTTCCGTCCATAGATCTGTGGCTCACTGGATAAACTCTAGAGACTGATGTGCATGAAAATTCAAGGACATCAGCAGTTTCAGAAATATTAAAACCAGCTCACCTGTCACCAATAATCATGCCTTGGTAAAATTTGCAGAGATCACATTTTTCTCCATTCTGATGTTTGATATGAACAATAACTGAAGCTCCTGACCCGCATCTGCATGATTTCATGATTGCATTGCACTGCTGCCTAATGATTGGCTGATTGGATAATTCCACGAATATGCATGTGCACAGGTGTTCCTAATGAAAGTGAGTTCAGTGAGTGTATTTTTCTACAGGGCACCTAAGCTTCAAACAGTAAAGTCAGTTTCTCAAATAAATAGAAAATATATAATCAGCCATGTTGGCCACTAGATGTCGCCATGGCTACAATAATGTAATTTGACAGAAGCTAGTTGGAAAATGTTTCATGTTTCAGATCTCAGGGTATTTGATTCTATATCAGTAAATTGTGATCACTGTGAATTTTGCCTCTGAATTTGTTTGTGCCCACTAGATTGTAAAAGCTTAACTTGAATTGTGAACAAGGTGTTTCACCTCAAGACTGTGAAGAAGATAGTGAAGTATAATTTGACAGCTCTTTTGAACTCTTGCTGACCAGTATCATGTGCTCTAGTACATACATACAGTGGCACAGAGATGGAGATGAAACTCAGAACAAGAAGTAAATCTCTGCAGTAGTTCCAACGAGACACAGTTTTTATGTGTGTGTGTGTGTGTGCATGTGTGTGTGTTCAGAGACTTGTGAGTATTATTATAATCTAATCTGATGTAACATAAGGAAATGTGTGGCTGATTTGAGGAGAAATGGATAGAAGAAGCGGAGGTGAGGAAGAGAGCGTCTGTGTGTGAACAGGTTCCCGTGCTCTGATCCTTCAAAACAAAGGTTGACAGGCTCAGGTTTGGATGACCTTCCTTTTCTTTTGTTTGTCAGGATTCATTCACAGCAATGCAATACCATGCATGTGTTCAGTCTGACGTGGTTTCTCCAAGACATCAAGACTTGGTGCACGTGTGTGTGTGTGTGTGTGTGTGTGTGTGTGTGTGTGTGTGTGTGTGTGTGGGTGTGTGTGTGTGTGGTAATGAGTTCTCTGAAGCTACCTGCCTGTGTCAAAGGTGATCTCTCTGGAGGATGGGAGGGAGTAGATTTGGTCCAGTGCCGCCCCCCCCACCGTATCGCTTTCTGTCACCCCCTTTCTTATTCCACTCATTCTCTTTCAGCCATTTTCTCTGTATTTCTTTCTGCTCTTCTTTACCTCTGTTTCCTATATCTTTCGCTTTCCTCCACTCTCCCCTTCTCATTCTTTTTTCTCCCTCTCTTTCTCTGCTGGGTTGTCTCTCTTATTCTCTCTCTCTCTCTCTCTCGGTCATTCATCAGCTGTAACCCATCCCTCTTCCCACACTCCTAATTGGAAATAACTAATTTTAACACTTCCCCTCTTCATTATTTTGTGGCAGACAAGATCAATATCCAGGGCTATGTTGTTAGTGTGCTTGTGTGCTCGTGTTTGTTCCGCATCCACTTGGATAATTCTAGCATGGATCGAGACTGACCTGTACCCCTGACTCTTTTTGTTCACTTTTACACACACTGATGGTAAAACTAATAAGATAAGGTGATGTGTGTGTGTGTGTGTGTGTGTGTGTGTGTGTGTTCTTGATTGACCAGTATGTTTTCTGTCTGACAGAAATGTTAGATGGGCTGTGTGTTGTTCAGCCGCACTGATCCATTATCTCCTTTCTTACAAAACACTGTGATGCCTGTGTGAAGGACGACCCTCCAGCCGCTCCGCACACATCCAATCAATCATGTGAGGGCTTTGATTAACACATTCAAATCACCTTGCTTATTGTATGCCCCGGAGGAACACACGCACATGCACACAAACAAGCGCAGAGACACACACGCATGCTCATTTGTGTAAATTTATGTGATTCCAGCAGGCAGACACCAGGCATATGCTGTGATGTCAGTTCTCTAAATCCATTTCATGTAATGAGCATCACAGATGTTTAACATATCCCCGTGTTTCCTTCACCTGTGCCATGTCACTTATGCAGTGTGTGTGAGTAAATGTGCTGAAATGTGTGGAAAAGGATGATTCACCTCAGCTTACATAAAACCTTTGTCTATATTTAGCGCCAGCATGACTCCAGATTTCTGCACTGAAGCTATCAGCCACACATTGAGATGTGCGTGGGCCCGCCCCGAGCTGACTGCGGTCCTGTGGATTCATATTCTACATGCCTGCCTCACCTCAGGCTTGGTTTTATCTTAGTAACATGATGATACACAAACTCAAGCTGTTTGGTTGCAGCGTCATGATACTGTCACCTTGGGGATTTAGATATACACTAGATTATAGTCTATTTCTTTGTATAGGAGGCGTGAAATTAAACACAAAAAACAAAGATACAAAATAAAACAGCTGCGCAGGAGAACACAAAAACCCAGGTGGATTTGGTTGTCCCCAAAGAGCAAACAGAAATGCAAGCAGAAAAAAAAATGACATACACACACAAAACAAACAAAAGACACATTGAATGTAATGGAGGTTTAGGAAAGTGTGTATATGTGTGTGGATGGTATGCAACTGGGGGTAAGGGATATAGTGTATTGGTGATGCAATACATCCTAGACGATAGTCTGTAATTGCTGGTTTAAAAGATTACAATGAGTAGTCAGCTGGATAATTCTTTTAATACAAGGAAGAGAGGTTGGAAATTGGATCTCAAATGAAGTCATTTTCTATAAACCAGCTGAATCCTCATACAGTCCATCCATTTAACTTCCATCACTTATTACACCAAGAAATTCTTAATCAGCAATTATTAGTTTAGGAATGATTTTCATTGCTACATTTTCTAATTCTTTAATGCAAATATTATAAAGTTCAGTATTTCATGGATAGGATGATTCAGTTGTTTATATAGCAGAATGAGGACCTTTGTTTACCTCACCAGTAAAAAATAAATGAGCCTTGCTGAACTCTGCATAATAAGTGATCATTATGAGCAATGACCATCCACACTGTAAACAGAAACATCCATGATTTTTAGAAATGTAGCTAATTGTAAAATTGTCCAGGCTACGCTACAGGACAGTAGAATACGAACTGATTTTTTTCTTTTGTGTTGTTTTTTTTTCAAATGACTTTTTCACTTCCTCACTTTTTTCTTTGGTCTTTTCATGTTCAGAATATGATCTGTTTATCAATATTAGTGTCTGATAAAGATTTATCATCCAAATGTGAAGTGTCTAATGAAGAGGAGATCTCGCAGTTCTTCACCTGCGATCTGAAATTCGAAATGATATGACATGACATTGATATTCTTCGGTTGTGCACTGTGGCTGATAAAACCTGAGCTGAGCTGTGACCCTGACACACAGCTTGATTCTCAGAGGAGTAGCATATAAAATATCTATCTATAAATATCCATCAGACTGAGAGGGACCCATTGTACTTTCACTTTTCTTCATTTGGCGACATGAAAGGGCTTTAAAGGAGTCAAATAGAAGATTGTTGCTGTAGTTAACATTTCTGGAGTCATGTGCTTCAAGTGTGAACCTACAAGAAATGGCTTGTTTGTGTTTTCTTGGGTCTGTCGTTGTCTGTCTGGGCGTCTGTTTTTTTGTATGGCATTACTTTTCCGTGTACCAGTCAATCTGCAAAGGTGGAAACCCAGGGGAACTTTCAGTGTTGTCCCGGGCAAACTGCAGAACAGCCCTGACAGCTACAATGTCAACAATCTGCCATACAGTGACAGTGTGTGTTTCTGTGTGTGTGTGTATGTGTGTGCACGCAGACGAGTGT